TGGTCCTAGCACTGAACCCTGTGGAACTCCATAATTAACCTCAGTGTGTGAAGAGGACTCTCCATTTACATGAACAAATTGGAGTCTATTAGATAGATATGATACAAACCACTGCAGTGCAATACCTGTAATACCTACAGCATGTTCTAATCGCTCTAATAGGATATTATGGTCAACAGTATCGAATGCTGCACTAAGGTCTAGCAGGACAAGCACAGAGATGAGTACACTGTCAGAGGCCATAAGAAGATCATTTGTAACTAGAGCTGGGCGATATATCGAGTTTTTAAAAAATATCGATATATTTTTATACGAGATATAAGATGTGACAATATCCTTTATATCGATATAGTCTATGTTACGTTATAATTATACTTGTGGAGCCGCAAGTTTCCCTCTCTTTGGTCCACTTTCGTCTTTTCGCAACGTTACTCGGACTCGCCTCTCCTTCACTGAACACAACTCCCCCTCCTCCCCCATCGCTTCACCTGCAGGAAGCGACAAGATGGACACGGCAAATCTCCGTTAACGAGTTACTGGACAGCGTCAACGTGTTAGCTAGCTAACCACGCTAACGAGCTAACCACGCTAATGCCATGCAGCCCAGAGGTGCTGCACGGACTAAAATCCTTTCATTTTCTCAAATGTTGACAGCGCGCCTTATGTATGAATTTGGGTTGTGCTTGATGGCCGCGAACCGATTTTATGTAGAACACGGCGCTCAGCAATCTGTCAAAAAATGTTTTAGTACAACTTTGGTAAGCTACGGAGCTGCACCGCTTGATGGTTTGTCGGAGCATTACGGCTGAGCCTTGCGGAGTGATACGTACTGTGCTTCAACGTAATATTACCTTACTGTGTATAAGGACCATAAATGGCACTTGTTAAGAGACATGGTTGCGAAGCAGATTTCAAACTCCAGGCTGTCAGTCACGCAGTACAAGTTGGGAACAGAGCAGCTGTGAAATCTGTCTTTGTTATTGTGCTCAGCGTCTTTTAGTTTACATTTTGACTGCACAATTGTGAGCTTTTTGTTATGCAGAAAAACAACATTGTTTTCTTTTATTTATGGAGCGTTATTATTTAATAAATGCTCATAATTTATTTTTGAGTAAATTTTATGTAGGGGAGACCGGGGATAGTTGTAACGTGGGTCAGTTGTAACACTTCCAATTTCTCCAATCAGGGCTAAGTTTCAAATGATGTGACTCATCCTGTGCATGCCCAATTCAGTTCTGCTATCACATGTGAAAAATCAGCACATTTTGTCAAACACAGACAATTTAACACGAAAAAAAGTAATTTGTATGCCAAAAAGTAAGTTTTTCTACTTTATTTCAATTTGTAATAGCATTATCTGCTTTGCAGTTAAACTCATCAAACTTAAATTATGTTATTTGTATGTCTATGGGGATATATTCTGTGTAGGTCTTTAGTGCTAATGTTTTAGCCGTTGGCTATAATGTTAGCTAGTTCATGGCTATAGGAGTCTGGGTCAGTTGTAACAGCAACAGTCTGGGTTAGTTGTAACAATAATGCAGATGTTACAACTTACCGCACTATTACTTTAACTTATATTAAACAAGTTGGGGCAACGACATCAGCAGAGAGAGGTCCACTGGTCACTTTTGTATATGCGGTTAATGCCATTGGCAACACAATTCCTCCACTGTTTGTGTTCCCACACATACATTATGCAGACCTCTGTGTCAGAGATGGACCAGTAGGAAGTACTGGTAGTGGAAATAAATCAGGATGGGTGCAAGAAACAGATTCCCTCATCTTTCTGAAGCACTTTGCAAACCACACCAAGGTAAGCCATGATAAAAAGTAATGGAATTGCGATGCTGGTGAACAACTACATTTTTTCAGCTTCATTGTTATGTTCAAAATTGGTGCAAGAGTTGTAGGTTATAATGCCCACTGAGCCAATGAGGCCAAACTCAAGGAAGACCAACCAAAATGAACGAAATATTCAGTTGCAGAAATTTCCATAATTTGTCTTTTTTGGGGGGTTGGAATATGTTCAAAAGCTAGATTTCTGCATTCTGTCACACACACACACAGCTACACAAATGGCTCTAAGTGCATTCATGTGTTGAATAAACAAAGATTACATGTTAATGTTTTGTTAGTACCCTTATTTCATTGTGTTACATTTCACCCCAGGATATGTTACAACTAACCCAGACTATGGGGTTAATTGTAACATTTCACTCTTCGTGTTTGAGACCATACCATGCAATGGGTAATTGTGCTGCAGAGAAAATAGCTGCACTATTTAATAGCAGAGACATGAAAATACTTTGCATTACATTTTGAATCCACTACCTTAAAAGAGCTCCAATTTACAGACAGAAATGTCAAAAATGTTACAACTATCCCCGGTCTCCCCTACATCTATGCTCTATGTTAATAAAAGTGCCTGTGTGACATCTGGGACACAGCTTTGACTAAGAACTCTCTTTTTGTTCTTACTTTATGGCTTTAAAAAATATATCGAGATATATATCTTATATCGCCATCCAGCTAAAAAATATCGAGATATAAATTTTGGGTCATATCGCCCAGCCCTATTTGTAACCTTCACTAAAGCTGTTTCTGTGCTGTGATGAGCTCTGAAACCTGACTGAAACTCTTCAAATAAACCATTCCTCTGCAGAATGTGTTAGTCCTTTTGTGTTTACACACACTTTTTCAAATAGATGCACGTAAAACACAGCAAAAAATAAATAAAATCAAAGACTCAGCGGCCCTGTTGCTCTATTTTCACCTGTATAGCAAGAGTGGGGCAGGCGGAAATTTGCCCTGGTGCAGGTGTATCGTAGCGGTCAGTGGAAGGATCAGGCAGTTTCTCTGTGAATTTTACATTCCCGTGGCAGCTGTCGGTGCTTGCTTGGAAGTTTAGGGGGTTTTTTGCTGTAAAAAGAAGTTTTCTTCCCATGCAGTGAACAGCGGACGCTAATGTTTTTGTCACCTTTTACTGAATCAAACTCAAAGTAAGGTCAGTACTTCCACTCTTTAAAAGCTGCACGGTCATACTCTCTCCCGCACTCGATATATTATCCATTGTTGATCTGCACACAGCTGTTGCCACGAAAGTCACACTCGCTTACGTCACTGTCATGGAACACTCTCGCAAAAAAATCACGGTTTTAGTAACGCAGTAATGCAGCGTGCTTACGGGAAAGTAACAGTAATCAAATTACCTTTTTTGCAATAGTAATCCCTTACTTTACACGTTACTTGAAAAAGTAATCAGATTACAGTAACACATTACTTGTGATGCTCTCAAGGCTTTTTAGGGAGTTTTTAGGGCATCCTGATAATAACGAATTACAGTACAGTGGTCTCTCGTTTATCGCGGCAGTTACGTTCTAAAAAATAACTTGCAATAGGTGAAGTCCGCGAAGTATCCAACTTTATTTTTTACAATTATTATATATGTTTTAAGGCTGTAAAACCCCTCACTGCACACTTTATACAGTTTTCTCAGACAGGCAAGAACATTTTCACACTTTTCTCTCTTGTTTAAACACTCTCAAAGTTCAAAACTTCGTAGAAAAATAAGTCCAGTATTATAGAATGAAACCAAAGGCGCCTGCGGTTGCCTTTGACGATGCAAAATGTTTCGTCGACATTGTTGTTGTTTGTTGGGGAGAAAAATTACAAACATACAGTACAGCACTTCAGAGTCGCACTGCTAACGATCGAAGATTTATGTAAATTTGAAAAGCTGAATGCATTCTGTGCTGTACAGGAGACACGCCACGAGATTGATTCACAATGGTCTACAGCCAATCAGGACGCAGAACACAATGCGATGTACAAAAAAAAAAAAAAAAGCATGCAAAATTGCACAAAAAAATCCGTGAAACAGCGAGAAGGGAGACCGCGTTTTAGCGAGGGACCACTGTAGTCCAGCCTAGAAATAATAAACATACGAACTAGTTTTTCAGCATCACTGAAGGATGTTTCTAATGTTAGAGATATTGTGCATAGAAGAAATGCACAAGGGAAGAAAGTCCTACAAATGTATTTAATGTGCGCACTGAAGTACATATCCTGATCACAAATGACTCCAAGAAATCTCACAGTGTTACTGTAGGCCAAGGTAATGCCATCCTGGGTAAGACTGCTCACTCAAAGCTGCAGAGAAACACAACAGAAAGAAAGAAGTCAGAGAAGGAACTTGAGTGAAAGACCGTAAATGATGGGCTTATATAAGGGAACAAACAAGGGAACGAGTAAGAAAATATCATGCTGAAAAGAAACAACAAATTCAGCTTGAACAACCTTTAACCCTAAAGCCTGGTGTAAAAAATATAACCACAGAAAAATGAGGAACAGACCAAGTAAGACATGCAATCCTAAAAGCCCAGAAGGTAAAGGCTACAATCCTGAAATCTAATGTTGAGAGTGTGAGATCAATTAAAACGCCTTTGGAAGAAAAACCTTGAAAGCTCTAGCAACAAATTTATCCAAGGGTCTTGAATGGTTTGAATGAAAAGCGTGCAGCATGTATAGGAAATTTTATTCAAATGTCTAGAAATAATGATAAAAAAAAGTAAAGCAAAAATGTATACACACACACACACACACACACACACACACACACACACACACACATATATATATATATATATATATATGTAATGATCATCTCCCCACCTCTCTCCAGAGACAGAGGTGTCAGTCACGCACTCAGTGTGAGTGTGGAAAATCAGCATGTATAAGTAATGCAGGTACAAACACATGTGCACACACACACACACACACACACACACACACACTATATAAATTCACCCCACCTGTCCTCTTGCACATACTGGTGTGTTGTTTCACATTTAGGCTACTAACCAACAGCAGTCAAAAGACAGAAGGGCACAAGGGCACCCAATCAGGCGCTTATGAGTGCTACTAACTCCACACCCTCTACCTCCAGTAGTGCACACCACACTAACACCAAGTCAGAGGAGAAAACAAGAAAGGAAGGGAAAGAATCTCTTTTTATTTCCCATCTTTTCATTTAGATCCCAGCGTATGTGGATTAGACTGACAAATAAATAACCAGACAAACAGGGCAGCTGTTAACAGAAATCAGTGGAAGCAGTTACAATGTCTGTTTATGGCCAGAATCACTTTACTTGGAATGGTACTCTGAGAGATCTGCATGGCAGCTATACAGGCTTCTGCACAGGTAGGTAAGACTAAGTGTGTTTGTGTACATGTGTATCAGTCACATGTATTTTCATTTGAAATTAAGAATACCTTTAAAAAAAAAAGCCATAGACAGTAAAGTTATGAGGAATAGCTTTTATTTATCAATGGACTTCATGCAAACTGCAGTAAAGAGAAAGTCTTCTGTTACTCCTCTGAGGTTGAAATCAAAACTTGTGGGGTCCATACCATTTATTGGATGTTCTTGTGTCCTTCTGGTGATTCTCTGGGGCTCTTTAAAATGCAGTAAAATGAATCTAGGATTAAATGAAACTTTCTCATGCATATGCAAACATACAGATTGCATGTCTATGCTTACTCTCCTGATGAGAACACGGACAGGGGGTGGGGGCGGGGGTGGAGTTGACTTGGCAGCCTGTGTAAGGTTGGCATGAGTGCCTGTATGCTTGTACACATCAAGACCAAGCAGAATTCTGACTTGGCATTACTTGCAAGAGCATTCAGTTGCAGTTGACACATTTAATTGTGGTGTACTGTAAGGCTTGGAATTCATTACACATCCATTTATGCATAAAATACTTTTTTTCCACAGACAAATCTCAGTTTCCTCAGTTTCCTTACTTATAAACATTTGAACCAGACCACCAGTGCATTGATATGACTTCTGCTGTGATTGGGTACTCAATAAATAAATAATTTAAATCTAATCTCTTGTTTGTTACTATCACTTATTCTGAAAGAAGTAGTCATACTAACAAACTGCAGCTGTGAGTGTCAAAATGCAAAGAATGCCAGTTATGAAAAGCAACTTTTGCTTCTGTAGTCATGGAAAGGTTGCTTGAAAATATCTAGTGCCTCCAGTGCTAGTCAGACTGGAGTGCTATCTCTGCTATGTGGCTGTTATGTGCTCAATGTTACTGTGCATGCTGTGTCAACTCTCCACAGTAATAAGATGTCAGATCAGAGGCATAACAGAGAGGAGCAAAGTAGCATCCAGTGGGATAATGACACATAAGTGATTTGAGTATGCTATAGGGTAGTCAAGGAAACTGTCACTCTTATTTATGGTTTAATGTCTTGGTAACGATAACATACTGTTTACTTGATAACAGTCTGAATTTACTGTTTGATATTTCTTTTTATGATCTCAGATCCCTGTGTACATTATAAGTTATCTAAAATCATATGAATTATGTCAGTGACTCATACACTTCTTTCTAGTTAGCAGTTAGTGAATGCAGTTCACCAGATTTTAGAAACCAACAGTGTCAATGAGAGTCTTGTAAAACTACAACTGAAGATGAATCCACTCAGCACACATCCTTAATTCTTATAGATGCAGAACATGAGTCAATAAACATGAGTAAATGTTAACTTGCAAAATAAGGGGCTTTGAGACAATTGTTGTTGTGTTTTAGTGCTGTAGAAATAAAGTTGAATTTAACTGAATGAGTCCATTCAACTGAGGGGAGGCCTTGCAATAGTTTTTGTTCGTTTTCTGTCATGGATCACTAGTAGACTTAACAGAAGATGAAAGAAAAGTCTGGAAAGGTTTAGGGCTGAACAACTACTAACTTGTTCGGCAATTTGAACTACAATAGCTCATTTGTTGAACTGGACCACATGGACTAGCCTTCGCTCGCTAAATGTGTTGGTGAGCCTTGGCCACCAATGATCTTATCACTGGTTTGCCACTTTTCCTTCCTTGGACTACTTTTGATGGATATTATACCACAACTGTAGTTCTGGAGATGCTCTGATACAATCATTTAGTCCAGCGGTCCCCAACCTTTTTTGCACCACGGACTGGTTTATGCCCGACAATATTTTCACGGACCGGCCTTTAAGGTGTCGTGGATACATACAACAAAATAAAACTAGTACCGGTACTGAAAAAAAGAAGATTTATTCATAACACACGTGAAAAGACCCAGGAAAACCGAGTAAACGATAAAAACGATAACAAAATAACGCTGAAAACCGATAAAAACCCTGAAAACTATACATTTCACACCTGAGCCTCAACTCTCGCGGCCCGGTACCAAACGACTCACGGACCGGTACCGGTCCGAGGCCCGGGGGTTGGGGACCGCTGATCTAGTCATCACAAGTTAGCCTTCTCAAAATCACTCAAATCCTTAAGCTTGTCTATTTTTCCTGCTTCTAATACGTCAACTTTGAGGACAAATTGTTTACTTGCTCCCTAATGTATCCCATCCACTCAAAGGTGCTGAAATTTTATGCCTGTATATGTATATATATGTTTCCCACTCATCCTGCAAACGGTCTTTGTTGGTCCTTTAAAGACTTGAGGTCCTCTACCAGATGCCTGGGAGCTGAGAGCATAGTATCTTTGTTGTTCATAGGACAGAGATCGATCGATAGATGTCGTTCCTGAGATCTGCTGGAGCCACTTGCCCAGTTTGGGGGTCACTGCTCTGAGTGCCACAGAAACATTGTTGTCTTCACCCTCTACATCTTCTCGAGCTCCTCTCTCAGCCCTCCTCTTTAAAAAAATTCTTTCACTGTACAACTACACCTACCACTATGGCTGTCTTCATTTTACCATGAAATTTTGAGATACTGTCCAGTAATGGACAGTGTGAATAGAAAAGTGCTATGGTAATGCAGATACACTGAAGGAGAATATTGTTTTTAAATAACATTTCATTTACTATTATGTGAAATAAGGCTGTGTAAATGCATATCTGTCCTTTTGCTTCTCCCTTGCTCTGTCTGTCAGTCTGGATCATCTAGCCCGTGTGGATAAGGGTGGTGATTTATAGGTACATTCAATCGGAAAGGGCCTCCTTTGCTTCAAGTTTCCATTGCAGTGTGATTTACATCTGGGGGGAGGGGGCAGGGGCTTTAAAACTGGCATGCTTCAGATGCCGTGGGACTGTGGAACTGTTGAATCATGAGTAAATAAATAAGTCTGACAGTCCACTATCAGCCCCTAGAGGCTGAAGGGCTCAATGCCATGTGCCAATAATGTGCCAATACAGTGCAAAGCAGCTACCTGAACTGTACTCCCAGAGAGGCTGATTATCTTGTTGATAGTTTTACATCTTTTCTGCATACGACTCTGATACTGCAGCTCCTCTGAAAAGAAAGACACACATCAGAAGTATTTCAGTCCCTGGTGTAACTCTAAAATGCACATCTTACAAAATTGTTGCTATAGTTGTTACACCATAAAAAAGCCCTCTGTAAAGCTAGAACATCTTAAGATTCATCACTAATTGAAGAAAAGAACAACCGCCCTAGGTTTTTCTTCAGAGAAAAATTCAGCACTCTGTCAAGAGTCTGTGAAGGTTCTCAGTGTTCCAGGTCATCGTAGTCAAAGGAGCTCGGAAAGAAAAGCGCCTGGACTTCTTTAAGTTGCTTGAAGACGTTTCACCTCTCATCCGAGAAGCTTCTTCAGTTCTAAGGTCAAATGGTGGAGAGTCCAAGATTTAAACCCAGTGGGAGTTTCCCCCCACAGAGGGACAAAAGGACCCCCTGATGATCCTCTAATCGCCTGAGCCAAGGTGTGAAACTGGGTGTGGGTCACAATCAGCCAGGGTTTCGGGTGAGCTCATTGAGAAACCAGGCCCCACCCTATCATGTGATTTCCTGAGGTGAGATGGCCCAGGATGTGAGTGGGCGTTAAGGCGTCTGGGGAGGGAACTCAAAACTGGATTATAGATGGCAGACAGTTGGTGTCGTAAACCACCGCCTCTGTTCAAAGATGGTCGCTCACAGTGGACATAGATGGCTTCTTTCACTCCTCTTTCAAACCATCTGTCCTCTCTGTCCAAAATGTGAACATTGGCATCCTTAAAAGAGTGACCTTTGTCCTTTAGATGTAGATAGACCGCCAAGTATTGTCCCGTGGAGGTGGCTCTTCTATGTTGTGCCATGCGCTTGTGAAGTGGTTGTTTGGTCTCTCCAGTGTAGAGGTCTAGGCATTCCTCGCTGCACTGTACAGCATACACCACGTTGTTAAGTTTGTGTGTTAAAGTGAATTGTTAAGTGTTGTCATTTTTATGCTTACCTCCTCTAAATTGTTTCAAACTCTGTGATCAAGGAATTCCTTTGTCCGCCTCCCCAGCCTCTTGAGGTTCTGGGGGGAGGCTGTAGTGTTTTATCACAAGCACATCCCTTGTGAAGGTTTGTTTGATGTTTGGTAAGCTTCCTGCCCTTTTTATGGCTTCACTGTGTTGTGTATGGTGAACCAATACAGGAATTGAGCCATATATTGAGTGTGGGGGAGATTACCTTTTTATGACCAAGGATGTTGTTAGAAACAAATGTGATCAGGAAGTCACGCACACACACACACACACACACACACACACACACACACACACACACACACACACACACACACACACACACACAGTGCCTTGTCCTTGTAACCAAGGGGAGTTTTACGAGGGGAGGTGCTTGTGTAAACTATTGTTTATTGTAACAGTTTTTTCAATAAAAGGCAGCAAGCGGAGGCTGCAGTCGGGGTCATTTGTGATATTATTCGAAGTGCGTTCCTGAGATAGCGACCGATGCCTCCCTTGCGCAAGTAAATCGATTGATTGCTGTTACCTTGTTTTTTCCTTCACGGGAATAAGTCTCTGAGTCAGCGGGGTCTGAGTTTAGACTCCACATTGTGTTTAGGAATCTAAGGAGCTTGGAAAGAAAAGCATCTGGACTTCTTTAAGTTGCTTGAAGACATTTCACCTCTCATCCGAGAAGCTTCTTCAGTTCTAAGGTCAAATGGTGTTAGGTCCCCTCTTAGGGGCTGGGGATGCTTTCCCTAGCCTGGGATGCTAATTGGGGATGGGGCTTGTGGGGTGCGTCAGGTGACCTAGGTGCTGTGCGACTCACACCTGTGTGTCATGGTGGGATCTGGCCCTTTTGGGGCTTGGGGAGGGGATGGATTGGGCTGATCATGATTGCTTCTGCCAGACATGAGGTGACCTTGATGCAATTTGCGTTTATATGTCTGGCAGGCATTGTTCCATCCCCTCCACTGTCCCACCT